GAGGAACTGTCAGAACTAACACCTAAACCATTTCCAGGGAATAAAACGTAAGGGAATCAGTTATGGTGAGCTATATTGACGTCCACCCGCTACCAAACTAAACTAGGCAATGTTTGCTAGAGCGCCCCCTGTACAAAATTAAACTAAGCAATGCTAGCTGGATCGTCCACCCTGTACCAAATGAACTAGACTTGAGCGTCCACCTTGTATCAAACTAAACTAGGCAATGTTAGGTGCAGCGTCCACCATGTAGCAAATTAAACTAGGCAATGCTAGTTAAGGCGTCCACCTTGTATCAAACTAAACTGGGCAATGCTAGTTAGGGCGTCCACCATGTAGAAAACTAAACTAGGCAATGTTAGGTACAGCGTCCACCATGTAGCAAATTAAACTAGGAAATGCTAGTAAGGGCGTCCACCTTGTAGTAAACTAAACTTGGCAATGCAGTTAGGGCGTCCACTTGTATCAAACTAAACTAGGCAATGTTAGGTACAGCGTCCACCATTGTATCAAATTAAACTAGGCAATGCTAGTTAGGGCGTCCACCTTGTATCAAATTAAACTAGGCAATGCTAGTTAGGGCGTCCACCTTGTAGCAAACTAGACTAGGCAATGTTAGGTACTCCACCATGTAGCAAATTAAACTAGGCAATGCTAGTTAGGGCGTCCACCATGTAGCAAACTAGACTAGGCAATCATAGTTAGGGCGTCCACCAGTAGCAAACTAAACTAGGCAATGTTAGGTACAGCGTCCACCATGTAGCAAATTAAACTAGGCAATGCTAGTTAGGGCGTCCACCATGTAGCAAACTAAACTAGGCAATCATAGTTAGGGCGTCCACCATGTAGCAAACTAAACTAGGCAATGTTAGGTACAGCGTCAACCATGTAGCAAACTAAACTAGGCAATGCTAGTTAGGGCGTCCACCATGTATCAAACTAAACTAGGCAATGCTAGTTACCATGTAGCAAACTCCACCAATAGTATCAAACTAAACTAGGCAATGCTAGTTAAGGCGTCCACCTTGTATCAAAAACTAAACTAGGCAATGCTAGTTAGGGCGTCCACCATGTAGCAAACTAAACTAGGCAATGTTAGGTACAGCGTCCACCATGTAGAAAAACTAAACTAGGCAATGCTAGTTAGGGCGTCCACCTTGTATCAAACTAAACTAGGCAATGATAGTTAGGGCGTCCACCTTGTATCAAACTAAACTAGGCAATGTTAGGTACAGCGTCCACCATGTAGCAAATTAAACTAGGCAATGCTAGTTAGGGCGTCCAAACCCATGTGTATCAAACTAAACTAGGCAATGCTAGTTAGGGCGTCCACCTTGTATCAAACTAAACTAGGCAATGTTAGGTACAGCGTCCACCATGTAGCAAACTAAACTAGGCAATGCTAGTTAGGGCGTCCACCTTGTATCAAACTAAACTAGGCAATCCTAGTTAGGGCGTCCACCATGTAGCAAAACTAAACTAGGCAATGTTAGGTACAGCGTCCACCATGTAGCAAACTAAACTAGGCAATGCTAGTTAGGGCGTCCACCATGTATCAAACTAAACTAGGCAATGATAGTTAGGGCGTCCACCTTGTATCAAACTAAACTAGGCAATGCTAGTTAGGACGTCCACCATGTAGCAAACTAAACTAGGCAATGCTAGTAAGGGCGCCCACCTTGTATCAAACTAAACTAGGCAATGCTAGTTAGGGGATCCACCTTGTATCAAACTAAACTAGGCAATCCTAGTTAGGGCGTCCACCTAGTATCAAACTAAACTAGGCAATGCTAGTTAGGGCGTCCACCATGTAGCAAACTAAACTAGGCAATGCTAGTAAGGGCGCCCACCTTGTATCAAACTAAACTAGGCAATGCTAGTTAGGGCGTCCACCATGTAGCAAACTAAACTAGGCAATGTTAGGTACAGCGTCCACCATGTAGAAAACTAAACTAGGCAATGCTAGTTAAGGCGTCCACCTTGTATCAAACTAAACTAGGCAATGCTAGTTAGGGCGTCCACCCTGTAGCAAACTAAACTAGGCAATGTTAGGTACAGCGTCCACCATGTAGCAAATTAAACTAGGCAATGCTAGTTAGGGCGTCCACCATGTAGCAAACTAAACTAGGCAATGATAGTTAGGGCGTCCACCTTGTATCAAACTAAACTAGGCAATGTTAGGTACAGCGTCCACCATGTATCAAACTAAACTAGGCAATGCTAGTAAGGGCGTCCACCTTGTATCAAACTAAACTAGGCAATCCTAGTTAGGGCGTCCACCTTGTATCAAACTAAACTAGGCAATGTTAGGTACAGCGTCCACCATTTAGCAAACTAAACTAGACAATGCTAGTTAGGGCGTCCACCTTGTATCAAACTAAACTAGGCAATCCTAGTTAGGGCGTCCACCTTGTATCAAACTAAACTAGGCAATCCTAGTTAGGACGTCCACCATGTAGCAAACTAAACTAGGCAATGCTAGTATGGGCGCCCACCTTGTATCAAACTAAACTAGGCAATGCTAGTTAGGGGATCCACCTTGTATCAAACTAAACTAGGCAATCCTAGTTAGGGCGTCCACCTAGTATCAAACTAAACTAGGCAATGCTAGTTAGGGCGTCCACCATGTAGCAAACTAAACTAGGCAATGCTAGTAAGGGCGCCCACCTTGTATCAAACTAAACTAGGCAATGCTAGTTAGGGGATCCACCTTGTATCAAACTAAACTAGGCGATCCTAGTTAGGGCGTCCACCTTGTATCAAACTAAATTAGGCAATCCTAGTTAGGGCGTCCACCTTGTATCAAACTGAACTAGGCAATGCTAGTTAAGGCGTTCACCTTGTATCAAACTAAACTAGGCAATGCTAGTTAGGGCGTCCACCTTGTATCAAACTAAACTAGGCAATGCTAGTTAGGGCGTCCACCATGTATCAAACTAAACTAGGCAATGCTAGTAAGGGCGTCCACCTTGTATCAAACTAAACTAGGCAATCCTAGTTAGGGCGTCCACCTTGTATCAAACTAAACTGGGCAATGCTAGGTAGAACGTGTACCATCTTAGTTAGGGCGTCCACCCTGTACCAAACCAAACAAGGCAATGTAAGCGAACTAAATCCACCGTATACCGAACTAAATCGGGGAGTATGGCGGACGGTCTTCGCTGTTCCAAACGGCGCTGGCTGGATCGTCCACCCTGTATCAAGTCCAAATCAGCGAATGTCATCCTCAACACACTTCAGGGCTCAGTAACGGTAAATATGCGATCGTGAAACACTGTAGGTATAAATGGGGCTACAAATATGCTCTGTCACAGCAATAAAGATTATTGATACACGACGAATATCTGTGGGTCAGGTGGATCGAGGCGAACATGCTCTGTTATCTTACCTCACACATAAATGTCGTTTTCTGATTGGCTGAGCGCTCTTCTATTCTTTTCAATGCACCCTGCTTACAAGTGAATAACATTTTCTATGTTACCCACTGGGAATGCCGAACTGTGGGAATTCATTGTGTACTTCGTGTTAGTAATTATTTATAAGTACGGAAACTACCGATGTTTTGCGAATAACTCTTAATATATTTTTGACGCCTTTCGTTTTCGATATTGGCTAATTGCCTAACTCTGGTACTCCTTTTCTATGATCCGAAACCCGTGCTTCAAATATGAGAAGTACGGTAAGATAAATACGATGTTCACTGGTCCCTCAGTGCCCATGGGTTAATGTGCCATCTATGTTTGTTTATGTTCCCTTCGCCCTTCAACTCACTCACTCTATGTTTGTTTATGCTCCCCTCGCCCATGTCCCCCTCGTGACCAGTGATTAATTTATAGGGTTTACGTCGCCTTGACGTTGTCGCCTTGAGTCAAATATGAAGGAACATTGAAGAAAGCTATTTACTTTTTAGCAACCTAACTGATTGTGATATGTGTGCTGTAAACGGAAGAACGTAAACAAATAATTTTACCCCCGTGACATAGAGGTAGGTTGTGTCTATATGTCGGTATTGGAACGTCTAACCTTTTCTCTGATTGTAATCCCATGAAGATCCGGGTAAGAATTGGTCTTCGGCAACCCATGCTTGTCTAAAGAGGCGACTAACGGGTCAGGTCAGGCTCGCTGACTTGGTTGCTGATTGGTAGATTGAAAACATGCTCGTTTTGTTGATCACCGGATTGTCTGGTTCAGACTCGATTATTACAGACCACAGTCGTATAGCTGGAATATTACTGAGTCACTCTTAAATATCAGCCAAAGAATCTGGATCCCGAGCCCCAAAACATTCGTAACATTACGACCTGTCGTAACTCTACAATTTACCACAGGCTTACGAATGTCATAGCGCCACGAACGCTTTGTGGATCGGCACCGCGAGTCCCATATCCATGTCCTGCCCTACGTAATCATTTGTACCCACTATATGGGTTTTTGTGATATATTTGTGTCGACCTCAAATCTTTTACTTACGCAGGAGTGTTCGCAGCTCAACGGCTCTTGTGGTGTAACTTAAGAATCTAATATATATATACACCTTGCCATAAAATTGCAATAACCTTTAACAAACGTTAAACTGCCGTCACCAGTACTCACTTCAGCGTTTGCGGGGAAAAAAACGTGAACACCATTGCTGACTGGCACGTCCTTTGCTTTTCGCAATGCATGCTGGTCCTTCTTTTGTCTTCCATAAACGCATAAACCTGTAACGCCAGCTTTGAGGTGAGAAGCGTATTTATGACCATATTGTTCTGCAAGCACGTGACTCCAAGGGGTGATTAGGAATGAACGGGTCTGCACTCCTCATTCCTCATGTGAACGTCTCTCGGAATCAACTCAGCTCGGAAAAATGGCGGAAGAGCAAAGGGTTTTCGGAGTAGTGGATTATGTGGTGTTTGCTCTAATGCTGTCTGTGTCTGCGGCTATCGGGATCTTCTATGCGTTTTGGGGAAACAAACAGAAAACAACGGGGAGAGTTCCTGATGGGAGGACGGGACATGCAGATTGTGCCTGTGGCCATTTCCATACTCGTGTCCTTCATGTCCGCCATCTTGATTCTGGGAACCCCTGCAGAGATGTACAGTGAGGGCACTGAGTACTTCGTGTACCTCATTGGCATGATGGCTGCCATTGTGATAGCTGCCCTTCTCTACGTCCCACTCTTGTATCCGCTGAAGTTTACCAGTTCATTCGAGGTAAATTTACTTGCACGAATATATCCCGTCAGAGAAACTTTGACGAATTTTGAGTTGCCTTTTAGGGGTAGTTTGGGTTTTTGTTGCGTATTGGGAGGTTGGTGTTTTGGTCCTTTTTGTTTGGTTTTCATGTCGTTTTTATGTCACCCGAGACGTCATTTGCGTATCATTCGAATTTCACAGGAGACACTTTAAAGAATTGTGATTATTTAGTTTTGTTTTTGTGATTGTTTGTTTATTTACGCCACACGAGACGACCGTATGCCAGTAATTGAGTTTAGACAAGATAAACCTGTGGTTGATATTATAAGCAAAATTCCTCCTCGTCGAGGTATGATGAAACGTTATTATCAGCGAACACATGACCTTATATTTCTAAGTATGAAGTCCATCCGGAATCTTTGTTGTAATTTAAGAATGTAGATTATGTTTTGTTAAGATCTGACATACGTTATGAATAACACAATCTCCATCTGCCATGTTGCATGTGCGGACTTTTCAACAGAGGTAGAAACACCCATAGTGCATGTACAACCTGCTTGTTGAGTTTCAATTTCCAAACATGCGGCTGTCATGTAAACCTCAACCGCCAGGGGCGGAGAATAATTATTCTCGAATACAAATGCCTTTTGAAAAAGATAATGAAGGAAAAAACACTAAATGGAAGTCGTATGAGAACACAGGTGTTAGCGAAAAAAGAAGATATGTTTTGCACTTCCGGTATCACCGCCACTCGCAAACATTCCTGCAAACGTTGGTTCTGATGCTAAAGGAAGTCTCTGTGCTAAAGGCCATCAGGCAGGGTAACAGCTCTTGTCATGTCATTTCTTCCAAGAAGAAATATTTGCTACAATGTTTCTTTGACAGAAGAACTGTTTCGCATATTTTCACAATCATACATGTTTCTACTGCCAAGAATCGAAGTAAGTGTATTTGGCACCTCCAGTACGTTAATGCTCTCCCAGAAAGGATTCATTAGTGGATTTTAATGCTTCATGCTCTGAGGGTGGTCTCTTGACCACTCGAAAAGCCATTTACCTGACTTTTCTGGAGGTTACCTTTTTAGTGTCCTATTTAGCAAGTGTCTGTACTAGCGATAACAGTACAATCTCTCCGAATTACAGTAAACACTGTCTTTGTTGCGTATTTCTACATTAAATGGATTTCTAATTCAAACTGCTCATGAACTATTTTACAATTAACATTTGATATTTGGGAATCGATCCAATGTAGTTGGCATATTCCTAACGGCATATTAACGCCGAAGGCCTGGTTCGATTGACCACAAGGGTACAATGTGTTAAGCCCATTTCTGGTGTTGGTGCCATATGGCTAAAAGCGGCGTAACTCCATACTTACCCACTCACTCACTCAACTGGAAACTGTGTCTTCATTCGTATTCGCTAAACAAGGCTAACCGGGTTGTCTCACATGATGATCTCTGCAGCTGAAATGAAGGACAATGAAAACAGTGTATAGGTATGACGATTACAGTGTACAGGTGGATGGAGATGCCTTGTTCTAACATATAACTTATAGAGAACCGAAAGTTCGACATATCGACAGTGTTTTATTGTATGCGCAAAGGGAAATGGTGAGGTGTCCTCCGGTTTGAGTACTACGGGCAGTATGCGCCTTGGTTTAACATTGTAACTTCGGGACAATCTAAAGTTAAACATATCGACAGTGTTTAACTGTACGTTCAAATGGAAAGGGCATGGTTACCGCCGTTTGATTTTTGCGGGCAGATCAGATTATAAGCCAATAAGAGCCTCCTCTGGTGCAAACGTGACATCTTCAACCAAAGAAATGTTGGTAAAAGGTCAAGGTTGAGATTCAAACCAATGTAACCTGATACGGACAAAAGGCAGCAAAATGCATTGAGAACAAAAGATGCTTGAGCCGCCCTATTCCCTGTCTCTTATCACAGTCATAAGCTCTCCATGGGTTCGAATCCAGGTGTGTGCAACATCATACAAGTGTTATAATTTACCGCCGAACGACTTCAATGGTGTGAATATTGGTTTTGCAGGCTGGACTGTGTCACTTAACATTTGTCATATATATTACCTATGTAATACCCCGAATAGTTCGGTTGTATATCTCTGACTGTACTTGAAGTGATTTAGAAGTGTGGCAGGGATTTATGAGAAGACAGTATGTGGAGAGCCACAGTGATTTATGCAAGTATAGTCTACCTTCGGTGATATATATATATACGTGATATATGTGAACCTAAGTAGATATAAGATAACCTACATCAACTACATGTTGTATACATTCAGGTAGAGCTGGGCTAGTATTCAAATAAATCTATTCAAGTTATACGACTTTGGAAAATGTGTTGATATGTACAACATATGTACGTGGGCCTGTGGACGTAATGAACTGCATGTCGATGTGCAGAAAAAAACATCCATACACATACACACACGCACACACAGACACACGCAGACACATATGATGAGGCATGATGCTGCCGTACTCTGATATACTACTGAAACAAAATAGTGCCATTTTCAATGCAAAAAGAATATGACATTATTTGTGGTGTTTCCCTTGACAGGATAATATCGAAATCTGTATGATTTAACACAAGGCATCGTTTTGCATGCCCTTGACTTTATGTGGTGGCAAAACATTCACACATTCATTATCGTGTGTGTGTCCACCTTTGGCGTTGGTACATGCTTGGAAACCACGACGCATAGACGACACTAAGCGATTGAACAAAACATGGAGGATGTCTTTCCATGTTTGAAGCAACGCTTGTCCGAATTCAGCTGAAATCAATGGCTGATTCAGGGCTTGACATAAACGTCTCTCCATTTCATCCCAAGCATGCTTGAAAGGGAACAGGTCCGGAGAAACCGCTAACCAGGGAAATATCAGTGAAATCACGAGTGACAGGTGGACGAGCATTATCTTGCTGAAGCGAAAAGTTACGTCGCTGTCCTTGAATGAACATGAGGCCCAATGATCCCTGAATCGCAGATCTGTCGTCCGACCATGAGGTGTGATGTCTCGCCATACCATAACGCTTTCGCTGCCAAATTGTCGACGTTGAACACCGAACGCGTCAGCATACCGTTCACCTCACCGTCTGTACACTCTTGTCCTGCATCTGGGCTGTCCAGAAATAAGCCCGACTCGTCAGTGAACAAAACACCATCACAGTCTTGTCTCCTGTATCGTAGATGCTGTCTGCATCAGGCAACACGTGCCTGTAGGTGACGTTGGAGGAGTATGGTAGGCCGTCGGGGCCGGATGTTTTGCTCCTTCAGTTGGTTCGGTACAGTCCTGGAACTGACTGGACGTAAGCCAGGAATTGCCCGAGAGGTCAAACTGGCAGTCTGGAATCGATTCCTCAGATGGGTGAGCCGAATGATGTTGTCTCGCTGACGTGACCTCACGCGTGGACGGCCGGTCCGAGGCAAATCTTTCGTGTCCCATTATATTGAAAAAGTGTCCATAGAGATGAGATCGTGTTTCGATGGACACTAAAATGTCTGGAGACTTCAGTTTGGGCCATTCCAGTCTCCAGCATACCTACGGCGCGGAGACGCTGATTTTCTGCAAGCATGGCATGACGTAAACGCAGTTTAAATTGAAATTAACGTGTTTTCTACAATATGTTTTTTACCGAAACATGTTTTTACCAAAATATGTTCTGCATTTCCTATATATACCGTATTATATTTCAGTATCTGGAGAAGAGGTTCGACTCCCGTGCTGCCAAACTAACAGGGACATGCATCATGATAATTCAGCAGGTGAGTGAGTGGAATACCAATGACTACATTTAATTTGCACCTGTCTTTGAAGCATACAATGGATGTTAAAGGGGGTTTGTTGCTCACATCCTTCTTGTTACATCCTTCTTGTTACTCACACCCTTCTTGCTACTCACATCCTTCTTGGTGCTCACATCCTTCTTGTCACTCACATCTTTCTTGTAATTCACATCCTTCTTGGTTCTCACATCCTTCTTGTTATTCACACCCTTCTTGCTACTCTCAGCCTTCTTGCTACATTCTTCTTGTTACTCACATCCTTCTTGTTACTCACATCCTTCTTGTTACATTCTTCTTGTTACTCACATTCTTCTTGTTACTCACATCCTTCTTGCTAATTCTTCTTGTTACTCACATCCTTCTTGGTGCTTACATCCCTCTTGTTACTCACATCCTTCTTGTTACATTCCTCTTGTTACTCACATCCTTCTTGTTACTCACATCCTTCCTGGTGCTCACATCCCTCTTGTTACTCACACCATTCTTGTTGCTCACATGCTTCTTGTTACTCACAACCTTCTTGCTACTCATATCCTTCTTTCTACATTCTTCTTATTACTCACATTACTCTTATAACTCACATCCCTCTTGTTACTCACATCCTTCTTGTTACTCACAACCTTCTTGTTACTCACATCCTTCTTGTTACATTCTTCTTGTTACTCACATCCCTCTTGTGACATTCTTCTTGTTACTCACTTCCTTTTTGGTGCTCACATCCCTCTTGTAACTCACACCCTTCTTGTTGCTTACACCCCTCTTGTTACTCACATCCCTCTTGTTACTCACATCCGTCTTGTTGCTTACATCCCTCTTGTTGCTTACATCCCTCTTGTTACTCACATCCCGCTTGTTACTCACATCCTTCTGGTTGCTTACATCCCTCTTGTTACTCACATCCCTCTTGTTACTCACATCCTTCTTGTTGCTTGCATCCCTCTTGTTACTCACATCCCTCTTGTTACTCACATCCTTCTTGTTGCTTGCATCCCTCTTGTTACTCACATCCTTCTTGTTACTCACATCCCTCTTGTTACTCTCATCCTTCTTGTTACATTCTTCTTGTTACTCACATCCTTCTTGTGACATTCTTCTTGTTACTCACATCCTTCTTGTGACATTCTTCTTGTTACTCACATCCTTCTTGTTACATTCGTCTTGTTACTCACGTCCTTCTTGGTGCTCACATCCCTCTTGTTACTCACATCCTTCTTGTTGCTCACACCCTCCTTGTTGCTTACATCCCTCTTGTTACTCACATCCCTCTTGTTACTCTCATCCTTCTTGTTGCATTCTTCTTGTTACTCACATCCTTCTTGTGACATTCTTCTTGTTACTCACATCCTTCTTGTTACATTCGTCTTGTTACTCGCTTCCTTCTTGGTACTCACATCCCTCTTGTTACTCACATCCTTCTTGTTACTCACATCCCTCTTGTTACTCTCATCCTTCTTGTTACATTCTTCTTGTTACTCACATCCTTCTTGTTACATTCTTCTTGTTACTCACATCCTTCTTGTTACATTCGTCTTGTTACTCACTTCCTTCTTGTTACTCACATCCCTCTTGTTACTCTCATCCTTCTTGTTGCATTCTTTTTGTTACTCACATCCTTCTTGTGACATTCTTCTTGTTACTCACATCCTTCTTGTTACATTCGTCTTGTTACTCACTTCCTTCTTGGTGCTCACATCCCTCTTGTTACTCACATCCTTCTTGTTACATCCTTCTTTTTTTACTCACATCCCTCTTGTTACTCACATCCTTCTTGTTACATTCTACTTGTTACTCACATCCTTCTTGGTGCTCACATCCCTGTTGTTACTCACATCCCTGTTGTTACATCCTTCTTGTCACATCCGTCTTGTTACACATATCCTTCTTGTTACTCACATCCTTCTTACTACTCACATCCTACTTGCTACTCAAATCCTTCTTGTTACATTCTTTTTGTTACTCACATCCTTCTTGTTGCTCACATTATTTTCGTTATTCACATCCTTCTTGCTATATTCTAAAAAAGAATCTCTTTCAATTCAAGGTGCTGTATATGGGGGTTGCATCGTTTGCTCCATCAACGGCCTTAGAAGCGGGTATGTCTTTAATTATTTTAGTTAACCAAAAACCTGCGTCTCTTTGGGGACGTTTAACTTTTCTTTGAATTGTAATATTCCAAGCGCCACAACTATAAACAAAATATATACGTGTAATGATACTTGTTGATAGAGTTTAACTTGCGGTCGCGGTCGTCTCAAGTTAACTGGGCTCAGTTGCACAAAGCGATCTTAGCTACGATGACATTAAGTTTGCATAAGAGGATGTGTGTTACGGTCACGGTAGCGCTAAGAACGCTTTGTGCAAGTGGGCCCTGGTCCTTGACGAAGATTAGTAGTACTAATTGTGTAACCACATATGGCGTAGAGCAATTTTAACATCCCCAAAATTTACAGGAACTGAGTGATTTAGGCAGCCTTGCGCTGAGCTGTTATAGTGTCCGAAATGTTGATGTTTTAACGCATTGTGTGATCCAATTTGTCTAACTACATACTCAGATGTATAATTTATGTACTTTATAAATAATCAACCAATGATGATAATTTGTACAAAATTTGACACAAGTCATTGTTACTGACCGGGGTTCATTTATCACCCATGAAACAATAAAATGTCAAGGTGAAGGTCATACGTTAACAAAATTTGGTATGGCCACCTTGAGAGTCCAGAACTGCCTGACGTCGGCGTTCCATGGATCAAATCAGATTGTGGCTTGGGTAATGTTTACTAGGGCTGCGTAATATAACCGGTTTACCGGTATTTACCGGTTCAGACATGAAAACGATACGTATTGCCATACGCTGATCGAAAACCGGTATCTTGACTTGCATTCGGAAAACTTCGTAACACTCGGAAATGTTCGGATATGTCCTTGTTTCATTTGTGCCAAATGTTATTCACATTTGTATTTTATCATGATTAAAAGTTGTTATCATTAAAGCTTAATCAAGCCTAGTGATTTTGTTGTGTTTTTTGCTCTATAAATCAAGAATTAAATCGATTATAAGTAGTTCTTTGTTTAAAAATACTTCATGCAATATATTGCAATACATGCTTTCGCATCGCAATATATCGCAATATGAAAATTCCCTGCAATACCCACCCGTAATGTTTACCCGCTCATCCTGCAGTGCACCGGAGAACTGTTGGGGATTATGTACCTGTTGCTGACGTGATCACAGACGCTGATCAAAAGCATGCCATAAACACTCGATGGGGTTTAGATCTGGAGAACTTGAGGACAAGTGGGTGGACGTTGTGGTTGTCCCAAGTCGGGCCGCGTGTGTACGGGCGCTGTCGGGCTTCAAAATGTCGTTTTCTTGTTGCGTAATGAAAAAGAAGGTGTGAAATTCAGGTGTGTAAACGTTGTGCCCTTAAGTTGCCCTAGGCGTATGCTAAGCTTGTTCTATCATTACACTTCCCCGCCAAATCTGTGCACTTCCTGTATGCAGTTTCGAGCCTAACGTTCCCCTTGTCGTCTGTAAAAACTTCGTCTTTGTACGGAGGATCAAAGCATATGACACTTCGCCATCGCTGTAGTGGTCATACTACGTGTCCTTGACACAACTTACGTCGCACGGGCTGTTTCGTTTAGTTCCTCGCTGTCTGGCCTAACATCCAACGCAATCCAAGATATAACCAAGATTGCGTTGGATGTTAGGCCAGACAGCGATTATCGGGCTGTGGAGGTTGCCGTGGTGAGTCGATAACGTAAGTGACGAAACCTTATGAACCTGTTCTGAGCTGCAGTTGTATCCCGGGGTCGTCCGAATCTCGGTAGGTCACGTGTTGACCGCTACGCCTGATAACGATTCCATAGTCCAGTAATGGTTCTTGGCGATACGGAACGCCTCCGTGGTGTAGTGGTTAGAGCGTCCGCACGGAAAGCGGAAGGTCGCGGGTTCGATCCCCGACCGCGTCATACCAAAAGACGTTAAAATATGGTATTTGTTGGTCCCTGCCTGGCGCTCGACATTAATGGGTACAAGGACTGGTCGGCTCGGAGTCAGTATAATGTGTGGGGTATTCATGCTAACACTATAAAACCAGCTTAAGTCTGGGCTAGTACAAGCAACCGCACATACACATACATACATACACACGCATGCACGTCGTCATATGAGCGAAATATTCTCAAGCACGACGTTAACCCACTTTCACCTCGAAAATGAGAATATTTAGAATATTTCGCTCATATGACGACGTGCATGCGTGTGTATGTGTATGTTCGGCTGCTTGTACTAGCCCAGACTTCAGCTGGTTTTATAGTGCTAGCCCACTGAGATACCACGCCGCAGTGAAGCATGAATACCCCACTCAGACACATTATACTGACTCCGAGCCAACCAGTCCTTGTTGTACCCATTAATGCCGAGCGCTAGGCAGGGACCAACAAGTACCATATTTTAACGTCTTTTGGTATGACGCGGTTGGGGATCGAACCCGCGACCTTCCGCTCTCTGAGACACATTTGTTTTTTTGTTCATACAACATCCTTTGCGTTTTAGAATGCACAACAGGAAGATGTAGTACGTGTGATGAATGTGTTAATGCATTGTATGTGTTTCAGTCACCGGGTTTCCGACCTGGGCCACCATCATCACCGTGGGAATGGTGTCAACATTCTATACCTCCCTGGTGGGTTAAACACAATGCTTGTTACAATGGCAGTACTTAACATGATACAGATTACCAACAACAATCTTAAACGGACGACCCGTGAAGGTCCGGGTTAGAATGTGCCTTCAGTAACCCATGTTTGTCGTAAAAGGCGACTAACGGGATCGGGTAGTCAGACTCGCTGACTTTATTGACATAGTTCATCGGTTCCCCATTTACGCAGATCGATGCTCGTGCTGTTGATCACTGGATTGTCTGGTCCAGACTCGATTATTTACAGACCGCCGCCATATAGCTGAATATTGCTGAGTGCGGCGTAAAACTAAACTCACTCATTCACTCACTCACTTAAACGAACCATTATTGGAATTACACTCTCCATTGAGATGCGCCCCTTTGTCAAGCCAGGAGCAGCTGATTGTATGTTCTATTTATATCTCCCTGATCCTTCTTTGTGTGCTGGCAACCTGACTGCATCGGTATCACGTTGTAACTGAAGTACGGCACTTGAGTGGTATGGGTGCATGCAATTGCCATGTAATACATGTATTATCTTCAGGTATGTGTTAAATTACCTTATAAGAGTGTGCAAAAAATGGAAATATATTACCCGTTGGAAGACATTTGTCAATCTCTGAAGTGTTTGCAGTTCGTATATGTTAACATTCAATTTCGATTACGTTATTTGCTCTAATATATTGGTTGATATTTATGATATTTTATGTATATTTCATTTTAGGGTGGAATGAAAGCAGTTGTGTGGACAGACGTGTTTCAATCAGTGGTTATGCTTGCCGGACTACTAGCAATAGTAATTCAGGTATGATTGCTGTGGAATATGTCAAAATACACATCTATTAAGTACAGTTTATCAAGTAGATCATTTCACTAAAAGAGCAATTCAGATTTGATGGTGCATACGTATGACAGAAATCATATCCTGAAGAATTGTGTCAGAATGCATATCTGCCCATTACAGTTTCTGCAACAACCATTAAACATAAACAAATATCCATCAGCAAATGAAGAAATATGAAAATACATATAGTCCGAAGAAGTTTGGAATGGGTCATAATGTATTAAATAGTTTCTTGCGTTGTAAATATGTAACATATTCATTACACTGTTTTCAAAAAACAAATTCGTAGACATGATGATACGCGATTCATCGCGTTAAAAGTAAACAAAATGGGTACATTTTCGTAGATCTTATTTTAAATGTACATTCCATCATTTCAGGGATCCATCGTGGTCGGCGGCATGGGAGAAGTGTGGAGAATAAACGAAGAATGGGGACGAATTAATTTCTTTAAGTATGTATAACTCTCCGCTGGTTATTTACGGATCGCCACCATGTAGCAAGAATATCAAGAATATTTTTAAAAAAAACAAACAGCCGTGAAAAATAAAAAAAGGTGTTTATTCCCTCTGAGATGTATATTTGTGTTTCAGCTTTGACCCAGACCCCACAGTCCGCCATTCCTTCTGGTCACTCGTCGTCGGTGGGATGATCGGCTGGACAGCGACCTACGGGGTCAACCAGGCCAGTGTCCAGCGCTACTGTGCACTGCCAACACTTCAGAAGGCCAAGCTGTAAGGACACTATGGAACGCCAGGGACAGGGGACTTCGTCCTGGTGTATTACCAATTTAGCGAAATCGTTTTCTGGACGTCGCAGACTTTCAGAAAATGATTTTGTTTCTGAAACATGCTATCGATCTTTCGTGTTGGCTTTTAAAATCGTCGCCACACCTTCTTAAAAATAGTGTAGAAACGTATATTATATTTTCCATTTTGTCAGTGAATGAACAACGAGGAGACTTCTATGGATATACATGTACACGACAGACAGATTTATTTCGTAGAGTGGCCCTGAGGCCAAAAGTACAGTGACATTTTTACATCATTTTCCCTGGAGCGCTGGCATGAGAATTACACTGGTATTTATATGCATCATAAAACGTTATGAATTTCGTTTACAAATATGGCTAGGCGTAAAATAACATTTGCATTTTGGATATTAAGTAAATTTATAAACTTCTGTATGTTGGGATTTACACAATAATATTGGGGTACATACCTGATGCGTAAATCAGAATAAACAAGGCATTGTAATATAACATGGTAATCGTCCTGGACAATATTGACGCAATGGGCGCACCTGGCAGAACTGATATCATCATCTTTGGATCTTCTATAGGTTTGTACATTCAGTTTACTGATGCCACATCTAAATATTGTAAGAGATCTGCGGAGTTGCATAGAGCATAATACTTTTAAATATGTTTCATGCACAATGTCATGTTTAAATAGTGAATATGCACACACATATTTGGAGCTTGCAATATCGGATGACCATTTTTGGTAATATATATCTCTACAGCGTTGTTTGAATAGCTTTAAGAACATATTAGGATCTCCAGCTGTTTGGTGGATCATACATGTGAATAACCGTATTGAAACAACAATGTTCTAACTGAAGAGGTCCAGTTAGTATCTCCATTATCATCTAGATTTTTCATCATATTATAGCAACGTTTAGTGAGTGAGTGAGTGAGTTATTATTTTACGTCACATCGGCAATATTTCAGCCATATCGTGACGAGAACATTTGATATTTGAAATAAAATATATGTATATTATAATACACCTGCCGACGAAGGACAGTAAAACAACTAGAGTATCACAGATATACATGTAAAACTAGTAATTGAATCTAAAACATTTTAACTATAGGGGACAAAACAATATAAAAATGGGCTATAGTTCGCCACCAACTGAAGGTAGATCACCATGCTAGGAAGCAACATTTAGAATGTCTTGTGGCTGGCTGACTGATTAGTCGTAAACAGTATGATATAACTCTTGTTTTATAATTGACTTGAAGTGGATATCTTCCACATTCCGCAAAAACAGCTTTATTAGAAGAGCGATGACCAACTCCCACGACAAATTTGCAAAACTTAAAGTGGATTTTTTCAATGTTATGACGATACATTGTTCCCCAAATTTCTGAGCCGTAAAGCAAGATTTGTTGAATTTTGCCATGAAAAATATAAAGAAATGTATCTGGGGAAAGAGATTTAAATCGACATATACATTGTTTGATAGGATATAACGCCTTCTCGGCTTGTTTACACAGAACCTCACAAGCTCTTGAAAACAGGTTCCGGCGTGAAAACACTATTCCGAGATATATGTAATAGGACTGACTGACTGCGTTTGGTTTTACGCCGCTTTTAGCAATATTCCAGCAACATCACGGCGGGGGACACCAGAAATGATATGTAATAGGAAACAGATTTCAGTCTTTCAGAGCCAATAAACCATTTTTCATTTTTTGAAAGTCCATCACCTTTTTTTAAATACAACAATCTTAGTCTTTTCGGTATTAATCGACAGTCCCCATTTTTTGCAATATGTTTCAAGAACATCTATTTTCTTCTGCAAGTTTATGAAACTATCTCCAAATATGGCGACGTCGTCCGCAAATAATAAGATAATGCATCTACAGTTTCATCAATGAAAGCACCACTATGATCGCTATTCACAATATCGTTTAAGAGTTCCTCTATTATAGAATAAATAGAACGGGAGACAGTATACAGCCCTGTCGGACTCCAGTAGGTGACTTCAATACATCAGTCATAGTCTGCTTGCTGCATCTCACAGCTGCTCTCACATTCGAATACATATTGCGAAGCAGGGGGTTATTTTGCCATGTAAACCATTATTCAAAAGAACATACATTTATTTATTCCTATCAACAGTGTCGAAGGCTTTTTTGAAGTCTACAAATATACAGTAGAAATTGCCACGTTTTTTTCTTATGTATTTATGAATTATTGAGTTAAGTATGAATATCTGGTCAAAAGTACTGTAATTGTTTCGAAAGCCAGCTTGTGACTCAGAGAGTAGTCCTTTGGTTGATATCCAAAATTTTATACGCGTGAAAAGTATTGATGTAAAATCTTTACTGAACATGTCTAGACGCGCTATTCCCCTATAATTATTAGGATCATCTCTATTTCCTGTCTTGTGCAATGGGACAATAAGGCCTAAGTGCCAAGCTTCTGGCAGTTTCCCCGTATTATAAATTTCGCTTATAGAAAGGTGACAATATATGACTCGTAGCTTTGATAGCCTCCGTCGGGATACCATCTGCCCCAGGGGATTTACCGTTTTTCAAGTTATGAACTGATTTTCTAATTTCTTCCTCCGTGATTTCATCACACAACATATGGTCACAGTCTTTACACTGGTCGCAATTTGTAGCACCATGGTTATCGATAAAGTGTTTTACATCATCATCAAAGTGGGATTTATGGTCGTTATGTTGGTTGAGCAGTGAACTGAAATATTCAAACCAGTTATCAGCTGATATATTACAACTACGTTTCGGTTCGCTGTGTTTCTTAATTGCCTTTCAAAAGTCTTTACATATATTGCCAGTAATACCGTACAATACTGCAGGCAAGGCAGTGGTCGCTGATATTAATAATAAAGAAGCTGTATATCCATAGAACCCTCCCCGTTGTTCATCACGCCAACGTCTAAATGCCAGTCAAAGAAGTTGTCAGTGAATGCGTATGGTTTTGAGAACCTTTTTAACAATATTCCAGCAATATTATAAACAATAGTCTTCACACATTTTGCCCATGTGGGGAATCTAACCTGGTTCTACGGCGTGACGAGCGAACGCTAATTAACCACTAGTCTACCCACCGCCCTCATTATTATTTGAAAGAACGTCCCCAGCTATTGCAGAAGATGTTGCTTTGCTGAAAAGAGGCGTCGTCAAAGGAATTGTTCTTTTTAATCAGATGTCGTTATTGTTATTGGAAATTTCTGTCAATTCCGAAGCTGTTAAATATTCATAAGCGAGAGAACACTGTATTACGAGCACCTTGTTGTAAGAGAACAATGATGTTTTGGACATTATCTTACTAAATGCATTACCATAGACCTTATCCACAGATAGTATGTTGTTATATTCTTCCAGGGGCGACGGGGTAGCCTAGTGGTTAAAGCGTTCACTCGTCACGCCGAAGACCCGGGTTCAATTCCGTACATGCGTACAATGTGTGGGGCCCATTTTTCGTCTTCCCCGCCGTGACATTGCTGGAATATTTCTAAAAGCGGCGTAAAACTAAACTCACTCACTCGCTCACTATATTCTTCCGAATCAAAGAGTTAATCGACCTGAAGAGGATTTTATTCGACTGAAGAATGTAATTTTGGGCTCTCATGACACGTAAGGTAATATAATATGTTTGTACTTTGTCGTATTAGGTTTGACCGATATATCACAACCTTTGCTTGCAGATCTGTGATGCTGAACGTGATTGGTGTCATCATCCTGCTGACCATCGTCTGTCTGGCTGGAATCATAATCTTCGCCTATTACGCTCAGAAAGGATGTGATCCACTGTCGGCGGAGTACATCAGTAACTCAAACCAGGTAAGCCATCACAGAGTGAGCTACCGTGAAGATCGGGGTTAGAATTGACCTTCAATAATCCATCCTTGTCGTAAGAGGCGACTAACGGGATCGGATGGTCAGGCTCGCTGATTTGGTTGACACATGTCATCGTTTCCCAATTTCTCATTCTCATGTCAGACACTGGATTGGCTGGTCCAGACTTGATTATTATTTACAGATCGCCGTGATGTAGCTTGAAAAGTGCTGAGTGCGGCGTTAAACAACTGACAAACAAGACAGAATGAGTATCATTTTCTGAATGAGTTAGTGAGTGAGTTTAGTTGTACACCGCACTCAGCAAATATTCCAGCTATATGGCGGCGGTCTGTAAATAATCGAGTCTGGACCAGACAATCCAGTGATCAACATCATGAACATCGATCTGGGATTGGGAACCGATGACATGTGTCAACCAAGTCAGCGAGCCTGACCACCCGATCCCGTTAGTCGCCTCTTACGACAAGCATAGTCGCCTTTTATGGCAAGCACATGGGTTGCTGAAGACCTATATTCTACCCCGGATCTTCATGTGTCTCTTCTGAATAAAAGGAGTAGATAATATCACGTTGCGCAACTTAAATTTCGTGGGATGAAACGGTTCGAGCGTTCAATGCTGTGTTCGATTTCCTACTTGCAACATTTGTTTGAAACCCATTTATGATATCCCCTGTGGTCAATAACTGAGGTAAAACAACACTCACGCACTCACTCACTCTTTCCCTTCCAGCTGATACCTTACTTTGTGATGGAGGTGCTGGGGTATCCCGGTCTCCCAGGATTGTTCGTCTCTTGTCTCTTTAGTGGAGCACTCAGGTAAGGATTGCTTATTACACTGACACACACGGTTAGCAACTGTTCACTTTAGTGGACCACACATATGTAGGGAGTGTACAGGGTAGTGGAACACTCAGGTAGAACTGTTCAGTGCAGTGGACCACACATATGTAGGGAGTGTACAGTGTAGTGGAACACTCAGGTAGAACTGTTCAGTGCAGTGGACCACACATATGTAGGGAGTGTACAGTGTAGTGGAACACTCAGGTAGAACTGTTCAGTGCAGTGGACCACACATATGTAGGGAGTGTACAGTGTAGTGAAACACTCAGGTAGAACTGTTCAGTGCAGTGGACCACACATATGTAGGGAGTGTACAGTGTAGTGGAACACTCAGGTAGAACTGTTCAGTGTAGTGGACCACACATATGTAGGGAGTGTACAGTGTAGTGGAACACTCAGGTAGAACTGTTCAGTGCAGTGGACCACACATATGTAGGGAGCGTACAGTGTAGTGGAACACTCAGGTAGAACTGTTCAGTGCAGTGGACCACACATATGTAGGGAGTGTACAGTGGAGTGGATGTACAGGGTAGTGGAACACTCAGGTAGAACTGTTCAGTGCAGTGGACCACACATATGTATGTAGGGAGTGTACAGTGTAGTGAAACACTCAGGTAGAACTGTTCAGTGCAGTGGACCACACATATGTAGGGAGTGTACAGGGTAGTGGAACACTCAGGTAGAACTGTTCAGTGCAGTGGACCACACATATGTAGGGAGTGTACAGTGTAGTGGGAACACTCAGGTGTAGAACTGTTCAGTGCAGTGGACCACACATATAGGGGGAGTGTACAGTGTAGTGAAACACTCAGGTAGAACTGTTCAGTGCAGTGGACCACATATGTAGGGAGTGTACAGGGTAGTGGAACACTCAGGTAGAACTGTTCAGTGCAGTGGACCACACATATGTAGGGAGTGTACAGGGTAGTGGAACACTCAGGTAGAACTGTTCAGTGTAGTGGACCACACATATGTATCTAGGGAGTGTACAGTGTAGTGAAACACTCAGGTAGAACTGTTCACTTTAGTCGACCACACATATGTAGGGAGTGTACAGGGTAGTGGAACACTCAGGTAGAACTGTTCACTTTAGTCGACCACACATATGTAGGGAGTGTACAGTGTAGTGAAACACTCAGGTAGAACTGTTCAGTGCAGTGGACCACACATATGTAGGGAGTGTACAGTGTAGTGGAACACTCAGGTAGAACTGTTCAGTGCAGTGGACCACACATATGTAGGGAGTGTACAGTGTAGTGAAACTCTCAGGTAGAACTGTTCAGTGTAGTGGACCACACATATGTAGGGAGTGTACAGTGTAGTGAAACACTCAGGTAGAACTGTTCAGTGTAGTGGACCACACATATGTAGGGAGTGTACAGTGTATTGGGGAGCCTTCAGGTTGGAACTCTTCTGGGTTGTGAAACACTCGGGCAAGAACTGTGCAGTATAGTGACACATTCAGATTCATTATAGATTAGCACTGAGGTAGGAACTGTTCACTTCAGTGGAACAACAGATAGAAACTGTTGTGTAGTAACATTCGCATGTAGGAACTGTTCAGTTTAGTGGAACAACAGATAGAAACTGTTCAGTTTAGTGGCGCACTCAGGTAGGAACTGTTCAGTGCAGTAACACACTTGGGTAGGAACAGTTGAGTTAAGTGGCGCACACAGGTAGGAACAGTTCAGTGTAGCGGCGCACACAGGTAGGAACAGTTGAGTTTAGTGGCTCACATAGGTAGGAACAGTTCAGTGTCGTGGCTCACACAGGTAGGAACAGTTCAGTGTAGTGGCACACACAGGTAGGAACAGTTCAGTGTAGTGGTTCACACAGGTAGGAACAGTTGAGTTTAGTGGCTCACATAGGTAGGAACAGTTCAGTGTAGTGGCACACACAGGTAGGAACAGTTCAGTGTAGTGGTTCACACAGGTAGGAACAGTTCAGTGTAGTGGCTCACATAGGTAGGAACAGTTCAGTGTCGTGGCTCACACAGGTAGGAACAGTTCAGTGTAGTGGCACACACAGGTAGGAACAGTTCAGTGTCGTGGCTCACACAGGTAGGAACAGTTCAGTGTAGTGGTTCACACAGGTAGGAACAGTCCAGTGTAGTGGTTCACACAGGTAGGAACAGTTCAGTGTAGTGGCTCACACAGGTAGGAACAGTTGAGTTTAGTGGCTCACACAGGTAGGAACAGTTCAGTGTAGTGGTTCACACAGGTAGGAACAGTCCAGTGTAGTGGTTCACACAGGTAGGAACAGTTGAGTTTAGTGGCTCACACAGGTAGGAACAGTTCAGTGTAGTAACACACTTGGGTAGGAACAGTTGAGTTAAGTGGCGCACACAGGTAGGAACAGTTCAGTGTAGTGGCGCACACAGGTAGGAACAGTTGAGTTTAGTGGCGCACACAGGTAGGAACAGTTGAGTGTAGTTGTTCACACAGGTAGGAACAGTTCAGTGTCGTGGCTCACACAGGTAGGAACAGTTGAGTTTAGTGGCGCACACAGGTAGGAACAGTTCAGTGTAGTGGTTCACACAGGTAGGAACAGTTCAGTGTAGTGGTTCACACAGGTAGGAACAGTTCAGTGTAGTGGTTCACACAGGTAGGAACAGTTCAGTGTAGTAACACACTTGGGTAGGAACAGTTCAGTGTAGTGGTTCACACAGGTAGGAACTGTTCAGTGTAGTAACACACTTGGGTAGGAACAGTTCAGTGTAGTGGTTCACACAGGTAGGAACAGTTCAGTGTAGTGGTTCACACAGGTAGGAACAGTTCAGTGTCGTGGCTCACACAGGTAGGAACAGTTCAGTGTAGTGGCTCACACAGGTAGGAACAGTTGAGTTTAGTGGCTCACACAGGTAGGAACAGTTCAGTGTAGTAACACACTTGGGTAGGAACAGTTGAGATTAGTGGCGCATACAGGTAGGAACAGTTGAGTATAGTTGTTCACACAGGTAGGAACAGTTCAGTGTCGTGGCTCACACATGTAGGAACAGTTCATTGTAGTGACTCACACAGGTAGGAACAGTTGAGTTTAGTGGCTCACACAGGTAGGAACAGTTCAGTGTAGTGGCTCACACAGGTAGGAACAGTTCCGTGTAGTGGCGCACACAGATATGAACTGTTCAATGTAGTGGCTCACACAGATATGAACTGTTCAATGTTGTGGCGCACACAGGTAGGAACAGTTCAGTGTAGTGGCTCACACAGGTAGGAACAGTTCAGTGTAGTGGCTCACACAGGTAGGAACTGTTCTGTGTAATGGCTCACACAGGTAGGAACAGTTCAGTGCAGTAACACACTTGGGTAGGAACAGTTGAATTTAGTGGCGCACACAGGTAGGAACAGTTCAGTGTAGTAACACACTTAGGTAGGAACAGTTGAGTTAAGTGACTCACACAGGTAGGAACTGTTCAGTGTAGTAACACACTTGGGTAGGAACAGTTGAGTTTAGTGGCGCACACAGGTAGGAACAGTTCCGTGTAGTGGCTCACACAGGTAGGAACAGTTGACTTTAGTAGGGCACACAGGTAGGAACAGTTGAGTTAAGTGGCTCACACAGGTAGGAACAGTTGACTTTAGTAGGGCACACAGGTATGAACTGTTCAGTGTAGTAACACACTTGGGTAGGAACAGTTGAGTTTAGTGACGCACAGGTATGAACTGTTCAGTGTAGTAACACACTTGGGTAGGAACAGTTGAAGTTAGTGGCGCACACAGGTAGGAACAGTTCAGTGTAGTGGCTCACACAGGTAGGAACAGTTGAGTTTAGTGGGGCACACAGGTAGGAACAGTTCAGTGTAGTGGCTCACACAGGTAGGAACAGTTGAGTTTAGTGGGCTACACAGGTATGAACTGTTCAGTGTAGTAACACACTTGGGTAGGAACAGTTTAGTGTAGTGGCCCACACAGGTATGAACTGTTCAGTGTAGTAACACAATTGGGTAGGAACAGTTGAGTTTAGTGGCGCACACAGGTATGAACTGTTCAGTGTAGTAACACACTTGGGTAGGAACAGTTGAGTTTAGTGGCGGACACAGGTAGGAACAGTCCAGTGTAGTGGCTCACACAGGTAGGAACAGTTCAGTGTAGTGGTTCACACAGGTAGGAACAGTTCAGTGTCGTGGCTCACACGGGTAGGATCAGTTCAGTGTAGTGGTTCACACAGGTAGGAACAGTTCAGTGTAATGGCGTACGCAGGTAGGACCAGTTCACTTTAGTGGCGCAGACAGTTGGAACCTGTTAAATCTGTTCGAGCACTAGGAAGGAATAGTATTATGGTAGTCCCATTATAGACTGGTGATGAGGTCAATACCTGTTTTTATGGACCCCCGTAAAGCAATATTGACCGAGGACGAATTGCGAGGTCAATATTGCTTTTCGTGGGCCCATAAAAACAGGTATTGACCGAATTCACCAGTCCATAATTGTTTTATTATGTAATTACCGAAAAAAGCTTCTAAAAACCAAAACATGTCCAATTAGTGAAGAAACTAATTCTATTTTCGCTGCAAACCAATAACGTCATGACATGGAAACAATAGAATGACGTCATAGCTTGACGTCAAAATCTATTTTTAGTAACTCAAGTGAATATGACTTGTGTTGGAGTCAATATGCTTTTCTGTCGACGTTCACGTCACCGCCTCTTGACCAAGCAGGTAGCCGGAAAAATTGCTTACATAATAATGCATCTTATATTACTCGAAAAGTACAGAATACTCAGGTCAGCCATGCTTATGTTTATCTTTTTTTGGTCATGTTCCCTTACTTTGTGACAATAAGCCGTCTTGCAACTTCTTGCAGCACAATGTCCTCCTGTCTGAACGCCCTCGCTGCTGTGTGCTGGGAAGACTTCCTGAAACCTTTCCTTGGGGAAAGACTGAACGAGGGGGCAGAAAACACTCGTCACTAAACTATTAGGTTTGCATTTCAAGTTGTTCATATTCCTTCATATACCAGAGGCGAGGGTCCATATCCAAACAAACACCATCTGTGAAGGTCGTCATACCATACTCACTCTCTGCAAAGGGGAACCAAATATTTTTCTTCGAACCACATGACCTGGTGTTGAGAAGGTTCAACTTGTCTAGGGGGCGGTGGGGTAGCCTGGTGGCTAAAGCGTTGGCTCGTCACACCGAAGACCCGGGTTCGAATCCCCACATGGGTACAATGTGTGAAGCCCATTTCTGGTGTCCCCCGCCGTGATGTTGCTGGAATATTGCTAAAAGCGGCGTAAAAACCAAACTCAGTCAGTCAGTCAACTTGTCTAGTCGATTATGATGGGCTATTTTCCCAATCTATGTACACTTCTAACTGACTGGGTATGGGTTTGTATCGCAGATAGTGGCCCTTTTTTGGCTGATGACGTGACCATACCAGTAAAGATCCCTGGTTTACTTACATTCAGCAACCCATATCATGCATGTCATCGTATCCCGAATTACGTAGATGCTCATGATGTCAGTCCTTGAATTGTCATGTCAAGACTCGAATGTAAGACCGCCTCCGTGGTTAGAGCGTCCGCCCGGAGAGCGGAAGGTCGCGGGTTCGATCCCCGGCCGCGTCATACCAAAAGACGTTAAAATATGGTACTTGTTGGTCCCTGCCTGGCGCTCGGCATTAATGGGTACAACAAGGACTGGTCGGCTCGGAGTCAGTATAATGTGTCTGAGTGGGGTATTCATGCTTCACTGCGGCATGGTATCTCAGTGGGCTAGCACTATAAAACCAGCTTCAGTCTGGGCTAGTACAAGCAGCCGCACATACACATACACACGCATGCACATCATCATATGAGCGAAATATTCTAAAACATGACGTTAAACCCAATTTCACCTCACCTCACCTCGAATATACAGCTGGAGAGTCGGTGGTAGAGCCTAGAGGTTCGATTCTCCACATGGGTACAATGTGTGAAAGCGATTTCTGGTGTTCCCCGCCATGATATTGTTGGAGTATGGCTAAGAGCGGCGTAAAAACTCACTAACTCACTCCCTCACTGCTGACTGCGACGTAAGACAACAAAATAACAAACATAAGCGTAAAGCACAGCTGAACCCTATTACACCCTATTACAATGGTAGGCAACAGCAAGATAATTCTTCGTTGACTGTGTCCGTTTATCTGCCCTTAACAACAACATGGCACAAATGTCATTTCATACATAATTCATTTTACAGTGCTGTTTTTCGGTGGTGCTGGTATCGGGATGTCCTTTATGGCAATGAATTTAGGGGGAACAGTGCTACAGGTGAGATGAATCAACAATTCCCTTTAACAGCGTTATCGGTCTAAACACATTAAAGATTTACAAGGGGCGGTGGGGTAGCCTAGTGGTTAAGGCGTTCGCTCGTCACGCCGAAGACCCGGGTTCGATTCCTTACATGGGTACAATGTTTGAAGCCCAATTCTGGTGTCCCCCACCGTGATATTACTGGAATATTGCCCAAAGCGTCGTAAAACCAAACTCACTCAATCAATCAAAATTTACAAATAAAAATAACTGGTAAACATACAGTGTCCGAAAAGATGTTTGACAATTCGTTCAAATAACTTATTCCGATTCAGATAACTTCTGTAGATTAAAGTGAAGTGGAATGACACATTTGTTTTATGGGTTTTTTTAAGGCGTCGCTGAGCTTCACTGGGGCTGCCTCGGGGCCTCTGCTCGGAATGTTTGCTCTCGGCGCCTTCTTCCCATGGGCCAACTGGATTGTAAGTTGAAAATCAGACATAGCTGAAATCTTGAAACAAGCTATTTAGTGAGGATGTTAACACACTACGAAAACAGGGAATACAAGGCAGCCTCATTACGCATTTAGACTGCTTTACGTTTTCATCACAGCTGTTGTAGCACCACTGTTCTGTATCACCTTATTCGGTGTCTACTTTCTCTCTACACTCTATGTTTCTACCTTTATTACTTTATCACATATTGGTATAGTTTGTACTCTGTTCTCTCTCAGGATATGAATTAGAACATAATTTAAAGTTATTGTCTTCCACATGGAGCAGTTCTCAGTGATGTTCTTGTGTATGTTATATTGTCTTCCACACGGAGCTCTGGTCGGCGGTGTTCTTGTCTGTGTGATATAGTCTTCCACAGGGTGCAGTGGTCGGCGGTATTCTTGTTTATGCTGCGTTGTCTTCCACAGGGTGCAGTGGTCGGCGGTATTCTTGTTTATGCTATATTGTCTTCCACAGGGAGCAGCGGTCGGTGGTATTCTTGTGTATGTTATATTGTCTTCCACGGGTGGTCGGTGGTAATGGTCGGTGGTATTCTTGTTTCTTTGTTATATTGTATTCTCTACAGGTGCAGTGGTCGGCGGTATTCTTGTTTATGCTATATTGGTCTTCCACAGGGTTATATTGCAGTGGTCGGCGGTATTCTTGTTTATGCTATATTGTCTCTTCAGGTGCAGTGGTCGGCGGTATTCCTTGTTTATGGTATTGGTCTTCCACAGTGGTCGGCGGTATTCTTGTTTATGGTATATTGGTCTTCCACAGAGGTGGCGGTAGCAGCGGTCGGCGGTATTCTTGTTTATGGTATATTGGTCTTCCACAGCAGAGGTCGGCGGTATTCTTGTTTATTGTATACTGGTCTTCCACGGTCGGCGGTATTCTTGTTTATGGTATATTGGTCTTTCACGGGGAGCAGTGGTCGGCGGTATTCTTGTTTATGCTATATTGGTCTTTCACGGGGAGCAGTGGTCGGCGGTATTCTTGTTTATGCTATATTGGTCTTTCACGGGGAGCAGTGGTCGGCGGTATTCTTGTTTATGCTATATTGGTCTTCACGGGGAGCAGTGGTCAGTGGTATTCTTGTTTATGCTATATTGGTCTTCTTCACGGGAGCAGTGGTCGGTGGTATTCTTGTTTATGCTATATTGGTCTTCCACGGGGAGCAGTGGTCGGCGGTATTCTTGTTTATGCTATATTGGTCTTCCACGGGGAGCAGTGGTCGGTGGTATTCTTGTTTATGCTATATTGGTCTTCCACGGGGAGCAGTGGTCGGCGGTATTCTTGTTTATGGTATATTGGTCTTTCACGGGGAGCAGTGGTCGGCGGTATTCTTGTTTATGGTATATTGGTCTTCCACGGGGAGCAGTGGTCGGCGGTATTCTTGTTTATGGTATATTGGTCTTTCACGGGGAGCAGTGGTCGGCGGTATTCTTGTTTATGGTATATTGGTCTTTCACGGGGAGCAGTGGTCGGCGGTATTCTTGTTTATGCTATATTGGTCTTCCACGGGAGCAGTGGTCGGCGGTATTCTTGTTTGCTATGCTATATTATTCTTCACTATATTGGTCTTTCACGGGGAGCAGTGGTCGGTGGTATTCTTGTTTATGCTCTATTGTCTTCCACAGGGTGCAGTGGTCAGTGGTATTCTTGTTTATGCTATATTGTCTTCCTCGGGGTACAATGGGGTACAATAGTACTGTTGTTTATGGTATATTGTCTTCTACTGGGTACAATTGGGTACAATAGTACTGTTGTTTATGGTATATTGTCTTCCACAGGGAGCAGTGGTCGGCGGTGTTCTGGGGCTGGCGTTACCCTTGTGGATCAGCATAGGTGCCTACACCGTTGTGGGAGCCCCAACTGGCCTTGAGTTCCCTACGTACAACTGCAGCGTTCCCAACACCACCGACTCATCAACAACAATGTCCTCCATCGTGACTACTGCTGGAGGACCTGTCGAGTAGTGAGTGGGGTGTCGTGGCGATTTACGAAATGACTGTCCGAGACATCAATGCAGAGGGTCGAACTAAAACTAAACAATAGTTTAGCTTATCAACTTATCAACAATTTGTAGACAGGACATCTCATTCTTTTACCATACAAGTTACACCTCACTACTCTTGTGTTTTCAGCATCGTCAATAATGAGACTTCTCATCCTCTTCTCTGCTCTTTCCCTATATGGGTACAATGTGTGAAGCCCATTTCTGGTGTCCCTGCCGTGATATTGCTGGAATATTGCTAAAAGCGGCGTAAACTGAACTCACTCACTCACTCATCTCTGCTGTATCGTGTTTCAGCACAGGTATCTCCGCCCTGTACACGGTGTCGTATCTGTGGTACCCGGCTATTGGTGCAGCAACGGTTATCGTAGTCGGTCTCGTTGTGAGCGCTCTGACAGGTCAGTTACTATCTGTGTACATATATGGACGTGTTCAAGCCTTGTTCACACTGTACTAGCAGTTCCATACCGTGGATCATAGATCCATTCATTCGCATTGTATACTTCCAGGATGTTTGCGTATATACATTTCCACAAACATTGATTGGGCATACATTGTGACCATGGTGCACCCCCACACGTGGACTTTTAACATTTCACCTGATCTTCCTTACATTTTGCCTCTACTTTCACTTACTGTTGAATTTACATGCGACTTTTAACATTTCAGTTCACCTGATCTGTTCCTTATATTTTGCCTCTGCTTTCACTTACTATTGAATTTTACTTTCCTTTACTTTTACTTACTTTTACATATTCCTCTCTCCGTACACTTACACTTCCTTCAAATACACTACTGCCTAAAAGTTCATTCCCTTTAACGCGTTCAGAACGCGTGTAACACGCATGTGACACGGGTGTACAATGCGTTTGAGTCCCGTGTCACACGCGTGTGCAACGAGACACACACGAGTGTACCACGCGTGTAACACGGGACCAAGTTTCAGCTGAATTTGACGAAAAGCGTTAGTGTTGCATACTTTGAATTGCATGAATTTTGAATTCGGAAATTTGCCAGAAGAGGTCGGGGATGAACTACGGAATGGTTTAGGTAGTACTTGTTTTGTTTATTTTTGTGTTTTGATTTTATATTTTCACTATTCACATTTCACATTATTAATCTTCACTTCAGGTATGAATAGCCTTGGTGATGTAGACACAAAGTATCTGGTACCCTTCTTCGACCGACTGATCTGCTGCCTTCCCGGCCCCGTCAGCAAGTGTCTCCGCTGTAACCAGGAGTTCAGAGACCCAGAGGTAGTGTTCAGCGTGTTGGAATCTAAATGTTTTTGCAGTAAAACAATCAAGATCCTTGCTCTAGGGGTTGTCATACTGACCAGTTAAATCTTTCACAGGTAAATATGTTTAATAACGGATTACTCAGTTGAAGGTGATGGCGTTGAAATACACATCCAAGTGACTCGACCAAATGATGATTGGTTGGACAGAGTTTATGGTCCCAATGAAAGAGGTGAAAAGTTGGACACAGACAGACAGACAGTTTATTTCAGTAAAACACTTCCGGCCCAAAATGCAAACTTTATCACAATTATTTACACAATGCGCATTTATATTTTTCTGTTCTTATTTACATGGTACAAACACAGACATACATCTCTTATTACATCACTGTTATTACTACTTATCAGTGCAACAAGATTATTAATGGTAGTATAAATACTAAAATATTTCTTTATGTATTTCCAGCTGTACACGGAATATGTTTCACAAGTATAAAATATGCCATTCATCTTCAACTAGAAAAATACCCTTGAATTTGCATGATTGGCAATACCCCTCTTAACAATAACATTTTCATATCTACCAGTTTCAACTTCTAACTTAAAATTACATCTTCATTTTGGAAAAACAAAAACACAAAACATTCTTGAGAAACAGAGGAAGGTCCCTAACAGTTAAGCATGTTTGGACACAGTGGACAGTGTCAATGAAAGGTGGATCTGTAAGATACAATGTCTGGTGTCAGTGGAAATGGTAATCGTTTACAGGAACATCAGACAGTACACTGACCAACAGGTTACCATTTCCATGGACTCAGAGCATCGTGATCAACTGATATTCATTGACACCAAATACTGATTACCTTTACGTAGATGATATTTCAAATGTTCTCGTAACAACGTAGACCGCCTCCGTGGTGTAGTGGTTAGAGCGTCCGCACGGAGAGCGGAAGGTCGTGAGTTCGCATCCTCGGCCGTGTCACACCAAAAGACGTTAAAATATGATACTTATTGTTGGTCCCTGCCTGACGCTCGGCATTAATGGGTACAACAAGGACTGGTCGCCTCGGAGTCAGTATAATGTGTCTGAGTGCGGCATGGTATCTCAGTGGCTGGCACTATAAAACCAGCTTAACTCTGGGCTAGTACAAGCAGCCACACATACACATACGCACGCATGCACGTCGTCATATGAGCGAAATATTCTCAAGTACGACGATAAATCCAATTTCACCTCACCTCATCTCTTAACAGCGTGAAAAATCACTCTGCTCTGAAAATATACATATGTTTGGTGTGTTTGGTGGTGGCGAGAAATAAAACGAACAGTAAAGGGTCATTCACGGGTGATGAATATATCTGTGGGCTTGAATTCGTTGAGAAGTGAAATCTGGATGATATGGTCGTGGTAGTAGTGTTCAACATACCACATACTGGGGACACATTGACACCGAACTCGTATTACTGACACATTTTCGATTGCTATTATCTAAAATGTCCTGACGGACATCCTGGCAGCTTGCGGGTGAGGTTAATACATCCAGAGTTATCTCCCTTGTAGTCGTTTTTCCTGGTCTAAGTTTGCTAAAATGCATTTCATTGGTTTTCCATAATCTGATCATACAACTGCTGGCTTTGCGCTGCGGGATATATGTCAAATGTGTCAAATGAGTAATTAGATCAAAATACATTCCCAGATACCAATCAGAAACAAGTATCATTCAAGGTAAGCAAATGTCTGAAATTTGTTTGTGTTGTAGCTGATATTCCGCAGTGGACAATTCATTAAATTCATTTTCTCACATATCATTTGTTTTTCTAGGAAATAGCATCTGAAAAGGATGAGGAGATTGTGGTATCACCATCTGGAGAAATGATCAGCAGCAAAGAGAAGTTACCCCTGAACGGGTCGAGCCCCATGCCTGTGTATGGACTATCATATAAAGAGAACACCGACACAAAGAACGGGTTTATCAACCCAGGCGCCGATGTCTTCAATGATGAGAAACAACAAAACGGAACAAAGTTCTAACCAGTTGGTCTCAGTTCTCACCCTAAATTAGTATCTCAATTTGTCAAATTCGTTTTAATGGTAATTTTGCATGACGTTAAGTCTATGTCAAAATATTTTGTGAAACACAATATCATGTGGCTAAATTAACTAATATCTCAAAGTGGAAGTTTACTTTCATTTATGTCCCTCGTGTTGCTTAAGAGTTACGGTTTACGTTTCAACTGCGAAATACATGGTAACTATGGTGACAGTAATCGCGGTTACAGTAACCATGGTGTCAGTAACCATAGCATTTGGAACCATGTGGTCAGTAACCATGGTGTTAGTAACCATGGTGACAGTAACCATGCCGTCAGTAACAAAGTGTTATGACCATGGAACGTTGCTTTTATGATAACAGATACCATCGATTCAGTTCACTATAGTCGTAGCCAAAAATATATAAGAAACAATATGAAATCCTATAATTAAACCACATGTCTTGAGTCCTGTCCTGGAATCTCTAAGTGCGCCAACAATTACTGATTAATGACGAGGTGCATAGTCCCATATTACCTGACGTTTTTCTTTATGTACAAGGGTTGAATCTTGACTTTACAAACCTAAGGGTACAGAGGACTCACAATCATTTTTTTCAAGTAGCTTTTGGGGACATATGACGGCCCCGTCCAAGAAAGAAATGAGTATAGTCATATATAATTTTGAAATCACTTTAATTTTTGGAACTATATATTTCTTGTCACGGTTTTGGTACAATGTGCGCCTCTCAAGACGCAATATATTTTCATTGTATACATTTGTGCGTACCGGATGCAAATTTCTGAGATGCTTAAAACCCAATACACAATCTAACGAAATTGAAGCTTTTGTCAAGACTGTTGCAATTTCGCCACTTTCGCAATGTAATGTAATGGTGTGATTTGAAGCTAATCCTGCAGTACAAAGATCATGATGTTTACATATTATACATATACTAAATTTGACAACTTTCTAAAGTCATTGTGTATTAATCATATTTGTTGGTTTCTGAAGAGCTATAACTCATTAAATGGATGTGGGGTGTAAGCAGCTGTTTTCAAACACTAAAGTATCAACAAGAGACGTGTGTTATATCCCTGTCCATGAGTTTTTGAGTGTACATAGTCTTCATCTTCGGTACGGTAACCCATAATGTTACAGTGTACACTGGGTGAAACCCATTTCTGGTGTCCCTCGCCGTGATATTGCTGGAATATTGCTGAAGGCGGCTTAAAACTCAACTCACTCACTCACTCGTCATGGTAATAATGATATTGCCGTGTGCTAAGTCTGTTGTATACATACCTGTAATTCCATGTATCCATCACAGGTGTCAAAGTAGCAACAGTTTTCAAACAGTAATGTAATATTTGTGACAAACACTATGAACTTTATATCAGTGAACAAATGCAGAACAAATACTTAATGCTTTCGACATGTGCTGATCTACATGCAAAGATCGTGTTGTACAATGCCGACATTACTCGGTAGTTCCATATAAATCTTATGTCAACAAGTGAGAAACCTAGAGTAAAACCTTTACATCACCTCTTCCGTGGTGTAGTGGTTACAGCGTCTTTCAAGACGAGCTGACGGTAGTTTGATCCTGGTCTATTAAAATATATATAAATGTGAAGCGCTTTTGAGCAGTGATCACTGGATACTAGCGCTATATAAATCCAAAGTTATTATTATTATTATTACTTGTTGTTAGACTGGCGTCACAGTGTCATGCAAAAAAAACCCCACATTACCCCGAGCTGCTATAAGTCAACATACACATGCATGCATGTCGCTGTATATGTGTAAACATCATGACTGCGACGTTACACGCCATTCACGTCACCTCGTATAGTCAGTTACTGCCTTCTTTGGGAGGTCTGTTATCCATATGTCAAACCTAGTGACAGCAACAATAGTCATTGGAATCTAATTCAGTTACCAAAACAGAACAGTGCGCATATATTTTAATGCTTTTTGAATGTTTTGTTCTGTGTGTAAATACTAAAGATATTTTTTTAACATGAATAAACAGTTTTATATCTTACTAAAATTTCCTTTGAGTTATCTTTTTTCAGTTATTAATTCATGTCAATCAAGCAGTCACTGCACACAGAAATGGTAGAATAGCTAGCTTTAATCTGGCTGTGCTTGTATACCATCGTACACAGGGTGTGTCTAGTAATCAGATACACACTCTCGATGACCTTTGCCTAATGCTGAACAGTGCGTAATGCTTTGATGAGGTGAGGTGAGGTGAAATTGGGTTTAACGTCGTGCTTGAGAATATTTCGCTCATATGACGACGTGTGTATGAGTACGTGCGGCTGCTTGTACTAGCCCAGACTGAAGCTGGTTTTATAGTGCTAGCCTACTGAGATACCATGCCGCAGTGAAGCATGAATACCCCACTCAGACACATTATACTGACTCCGAGCCGACCAGTCCTTGTTTGTACCCATTAATGCCGAGCGCCAGGCAGGGACCAACAAGTACCATATTTTAACGTCTTTTGGTATGACGCGCACGGGGATCGAACCCGCGACCTTATGCTCTCCGTGCGGACGCTCTAACCACTACACCACTGAGGCGGTCCCTAATGCTTTGGTTTTGTTTGATTGTAGATACAGATCTCGGGTGTTAACTGCTATGTTGAAACCCACGAGGACCAGTTTTGGGCAGATAAATCCAGAAAGAACCGGAATTGGACGCCTGATCACAGGTTTCTGATATAACCAATGGAAGCGACTGATTGACTGATGTTTTACGCCGCACTCAGCGATATTCCAGCTATATGGCAGCGGTCTGTAAATAATCGAGTCTGGACCAGACAATCCAGTGATTAACATCATGAGCATCAATCTACGCAAATAGGATACGATGACATGTGTCTACAAAGTCAGCGAACCAGACCACCCGATCTCGTTAGTCACCTCTTACGACAAGCATGAGTTGCTGAATACAAATTCTAACCCGGATCTTCACGGGTCCTGTCAACGGATGATGGAGGTGTATGCAGACCCTTGATATAAAACCCTGAAGTAGAAACATGCTTAGCATTTAAATTATACAAATGTGTGCATTTAATCAAGCTATACACGAAGGTTGGGTAACGTGTTTCCAAAAGGTCACCATAAAATTACAAATAGTGCAAAAACTACTAATGAGTATTTAAATGACACTAACATCGCAAGAACTTGCTGTAGGATAAAACAGCGCTTCGAATGAGCGGTCGATGGCTACCTTTAACTTGACGTTATACAATCTGCTGTAACGGTGTACATATCCACAGCTCGAGGTCTATTCAGAGCTAAATGCATACACACCAGCTTATCGTGGCTTTAACAGACAGCCAATAAAAAGAGTGTTCCACATTTACTCTGAAGAATCCAAGAGCGTTAACATGCTTGAACAGTCCTCTAACAAAGACCAACGTCTGTGTTTGCTAAGACACTCTATTGGAACGTAAGTCCCTACGACAGCCGCCTTTACAGTTAAGAAACCCATTCTGTAACAGACGCGCGTCTTGACAATAGTCTGTTGATAGTGGTGAGCTGGCCCTTTGAGAGTGTTCACTATCTAAATGTAAGGACAAATCCTACCACGGCAGACGGTTTGTACAACATTAGAACGTTTTACATCGTGACGAAAATGACGACCCAAATACATGGTAAGATATTCACAATATTTATACAGTTCTGGATCATGTTTTGTGCGAAAAAATGTGTGTATTAACTTTTGTTAACACAAGTTACTAACTCTTGTTTGTCTAATCATATTTCCGACAAAACTGCTTTGAAGATTACCACAGAAACTAATGGATCACAATTTATTCTTTTCATGTTCCCCGGTAACAAACTCATTATGATTAGTCGACTTCATAAACTACCGACCGCGTGTTATGCTTCAGGAATCGCAGAATTCATAAACTACTGGCAGTGTCTTTTGCCACAGAAATCGTAGACTTCGTTATTTACTGACCATGTGCTATACAGCAGGAATCGTAGACTCCCGTTATTTACAGACTGTGTTATACCACAGGAATCGTAGACTTCATTATTTACTCACTAAGTGTTATACCACGGCAATCGTAGACTTCATTATTTACTGACCATATGTTATACCACAGTAATCGTAGACTTCATTATTTACTGACCATGTGTTATACCACAGCAATCGTAGACTTCATTTTTTACTGACCATGTGTTATACCACAGCAATCGTAGACTTCATTATTTACTCACTAAGTGTTATACCACAGTAATCGTAGACTTCATTAGTTACTGACCATATGTTATACCACAGTAAACGTAGACTTCATTTTTTACTGACCATGTGTTATACCACAGCAATCGTAGACTTCATTATTTACTGATCATATGTTATACCACAGCAATCGTAGACTTCATTATTTAGTGACCATATGTTATACCACAGGAAGAGTAGACTTCATTATTTACTGACCATATGTTATACCACAGTAATCGTAGACTTCATTAATTACTGACCATATGTTATACCACAGTAATCGTAGACTTCATTATTTACTGACCATATGTTATACCACAGGAATCGTAGACTTTATTATTTACTGACTAAGTGTTATACCACAGTAATCGTAGACTTCATTATTTACTGACCATGTGTTATACCACAGTAATCGTAGACTTCATTATTTACTGACCATATGTTATACCACAGGAATCGTAGACTTTATTATTTACTGACTAAGTGTTATACCACAGTAATCGTAGACTTCATTATTTACTGACCATATGTTATACCACAGTAATCGTAGACTTCATTATTTACTGACCATATGTTATACCACAGGAATCGTAGACTTTATTATTTACTGACCATATGTTAAAACACAGTAATCGTAGACTTCATTATTTACTGACCATGTGTTATACCACAGGAAGAGTAGACTTCATTATTTACTGACCATATGTTATACCACAGTAATCGTAGACTTCATTAATTACTGACCATATGTTATACCACAGTAATCGTAGACTTCATTATTTACTGACCATGTGTTATACTACAGAAATATTAGACTGTCATTATTTACAAACTGTGTTCTACCGCAGTTAATGAGACCGCAGTATTTACAGGCCGTGGGTTTTACCATAGGAATCGTAAACTGCATTATTGTCTTGTTACACAATGGAGTACAGCATCTACATACCGTCCTGTAGTAACTCCGTATTATGTATTCTCCGTATTATGTGATCGTGGGTCGTCGAATAAAATCCAAGATTCGCCTGATCCTTTTTCTAGGCTTCTGATCTTCCCTAGACAGGAACAGGTCTATGATCTGTATCACATCATGCTTTTCTTTCACACCAAGCGAACACGTCGCGATGAGGTGGGATGAGGTGAGGTGAAATGGGGTTTAACGTTGCACTTAAGAATATTTCCCTCCTACGACGACGTGCATGCATATGTATGTGTGGCTGCCTATACTAGCCCAGACTAAAGCTGGTTTTATAGTGCTAGCTCACTGAAATACCATGCCGCAGTGAAGCATGAATACCCCACTCAGACACATTATACTGATTCCGAGCCAACCAGTCCTTGTTGTACCCATTAATGCCGAGCGCCAGGCAGGGACCAACAAGTACCATATTTTAACGTCTTTTGGTATGACGCGGTCGGGGATCGAACCGAGCGGACACGCTAACCACTACACCACGGAGGCATAATGAAACAAATACTAGTACACAAGATAGAGAATAAATCATAAAAGAAACGTATGGAGTTGCACCGACATGCATACACCTATCCACATGTAGACCTTGTGCCTACTGACCCAGCGTCATAATCAAGGAATTCGGATTCGAACCCACAACCAGCTGATCTACCACTGTTAATGCACGTACCTCAACATGTATGCAGCTTGTATTCAGCTTGTAAGGCCGTGTCGTCTATTTCATGCACATGTCATTCAAAACAGTCATTGACGTTTAGAAAAGTTTCATTGAATGACTATTGACTGTTGCCGCTTGGTTGCATGTCAAACTGATTATATTTACCAGGAACACTCTATGTATCTAGTCACATGACATTGTACTGAAATGAAAACACACCTACACGGAGTATACACCCGTGTTGAATGGTCGCTCAAAGTGAAATAGTTATTCAATGGGTACCTTGGTGGTTTCACAAACACACCGACACAGTCATGGTCTGCAGTGAAACAGCGGCTACATGGAGCCTATTTGGTGTCGCCTTCGAGATAGATCATCTTTATTTCCTCCAAAAATATGAAGTGAGTGAGTGAGTGTGTTATTATTTAACGTCACATCGGCAATATTGCAGCCATATCGTGACGAGAACACATTTGACATTGAAATGGAATATATGTATATTAGAAAAACCTGTCGACGAAGGACAGTAAAACAACTAGAATAGCACAATTAGAATTAAAACTAGCGTGGAAAGTTTAAAACTAATAGAACTATTGGGACAATACAAGATAAAAACAGGCTATAGATCGCGAACAACTGAAGGTAGATCACCATACTAGGAACCATGGGAACTTACATTACTCCCAAAATATGAAGATTGTTACATACTACAACAATATAACAAGTTGAATATGCATTGAATCCGTACACGGTTAATTGAGAGAATAATTTAGAGAGAGAGAGAGAGAGAGTGTGTGTGTGTGTGTGTGTGCGCACGCGCGCGTGCGTGAGAGAGAGTTCGCGTGCAGACCGTACATAACAGTATGGCCATAAACATACTGTTGTAGTGTAGGGGAATTCACGGTAAGATAATTAAGCATAAAATGGCGATAGCTTTCACATGTGTTGAATCAGATCTGTGTTGATGTTGGTCCAGGTAATCGTCTGTCAACCGGATGCACAGGTGGGATAAGATGCAGTGTCGCTTTTTGCTAATAACTGGTGTTACCTGTGTGTGTGTGTTAGTGGTGAAATCTTACGAAGTCTTCTGCTCTCAGCTGCGATGTCTTATAAATATAGAAATTGCTTTGTTTAAATGCATTGAACATTTACTGATTAGTTAATAAATCACAACAATGAC